ATAAAAACAAGAAAAATGGTTTGGTAGCTATTTAACTTGAAATAAGCGCATTGCTGAAGCCGGATAGTCTCATAATTGTACATGCAAGAATGAGTTTGCATTAAGAATGAATGTGTATGAGCTCACAAGCACTTAAGCTCACCAAAACAAAAATGGAGGAGCATAGGCCAATGACAAAGTTGTAAATTCCATTGAACTGAAACTATAATAGACCTAAATAACTTGATTCTGAGTTGCACCAACTCACCAATAATAAGCAAAATGAGTCCATTTCTTGTTCCTCCAGAGTTAATTGGGTTGCTGTTACAGTAAAAATATAAAAAGGTTGCTATGTCGATTGCACATGCCATCTAGATCCCAGTCATTGAGAGTTGAGAAAAAATAAGAGATTTTAACTAACTGATAGGGGAAGGGCATTTCGAGTAAAACCAAGCCTTGTTATTCGGAGAAGCAGTAGGGACAGTCCGAAAATTCCGAAAAGCCCCACAAATTACGGATTTCAGTGTTTTCAGGTAGAAATATATGGAACAAAAGATGCCTCTTTCAAACTTACTTTAGATAACCGGAGTATATACTTCATTCAAATCATTTTATATGATGCTCAAATGGTTTCGAACCACCTATTATTCAGCTGAAGAGGAACATCCAAAAGATATCATGCTCTGAAAGCAGAAAGGCGCCACCATACTAATTAACGCATAACTATTTGTAAACTACAAAAAAACTGGGAGAACATAAACATTCCCGCCTCACCTTGGCTTGCACATGCTCCAGATAGACGACTCTCTGCGACGGATCGCCACGGCGACGCGCCACTTCCGCGCAACCATCAGTTGTCAGATACATTTTCTCCACGCGTTGAGCCCGAATGAGTACACGATTGTCCGTCATTGGGGCCTGTGCTTCACAAACACGTTGAGGTGGGACTCGTGGCCAGCGAAGAGCCAGTTCAACCATCGCAGCAGCGTCCATGAGACCGTAACTAAATTGAGTGAGAGGCAAATAAATCATAGATTTATATGCTTATTTAACATGTCAGTTTTATTGTTGCTAGGGCCACTACTAATATCCGTTTTACAATGGCTTTCCTACTTACAAAAATAATTATTAATACAATCATATTCGAACATAGTAATGAATAAAATGCTTTTCTCTGTATGGCTTCTGTTAAATTTTGTGGCTAAAATAGTTCCTGACGCATGTTTTAACCGGATTATTATTGAACATTAAAGCTGCGAAGGCTAGTTCAATTTTCACAGATTAAGCTATGGAATAGAGAAATACCAAACACAATTTGACCCTCTAAGTTGTTGTAAACATAGAGCATCGTTCCTGCTTTCTGAAACTCAATTAAGAATAGCCATTCCGCAACGGCTAATGAAACCAGTATTTATGTCTCCGTCCAGATTTAAGATAACACTTATGGAAGTGTTATGGAAGTGCTATGGAAGAAGTATGTTATTTAAGATCATGGAAAGTACGCCTAAACTCAGGGGGGATTGAAGTAAGGCTATTACTTGGGATGGTTTCCGAAGACTACGCAATACGACTGACAAGAAGCCAAAATGTATCCGGGATTTAATAATTAGGAAAGAGGTGATAAAATATTATGCTAATATGGAATTATAAGATTGCTCAATATTCAGCAAGCCCGTTCAAATCATACAGTATTTGATATTGAGAAAACCCTTACCCCTCTTGATTCTGAAACTGCGGCAATCATGAATAAAGGATTAAATTTTTCCCTCAATTACCCGAAAAAACGTTCTATAGGGAATTCTCTTGGAGGTTGTAGTTACTTCGGTTAACTTCGCAGAGAAAACTAAACTAGGGATGGCGACAAAAAGACTAGCTAAATTTGACATTTAAAAGGCCCATAAAGAGGGTGGAATTGATAAGGGCATGTGCAACCTACATCTGGAAGGACCAACTAATCTTTAAGGTGGATAAGAGAGAAAGTCTGCAGTAATTGACATAAAAAACAATGAAATGAGACGATGTAAAGCATAAAATGAGGCAGAAGCACTTATCGAATACTAAGGAAGCGCCCAACAATGAGGCCCAATAGGATTCAAATTGACATACTGCAAGAAGGATAGGAGCGATAGATGGACGACAAATCCACTAATAAGAAGGCACTCAAGGCCAATGATTATCTACGGTATATCGATGATAAAAAAATGAGCAGGACAAATAAGTCTGGTAGTCAAACTCAAAACCGAGGCACACAAATTGATGAAATTTATAGTTGTTTGACCTTGTTTTCGTAACTTGGTCATATTGGCGCGAAGACCTAGAAGAAAGCACCTTATCCGCAGTCGATAGTATGCATGCTCATTTCCAGGGTCGGAGCGTGTACCTGGTTAATTCACAGACGCTTTGCCGGC